GGCTCAGTCCCCAGATGGCTGCAGCAGCCACGGCTGGGCCAGGCTGAAGCCAGAAGCCCAGGACTCCGTCGGAGTCTCCCAAGTGGGTGGCAGGGTCCCTCCCCAGTGTGTGAGCCGTCGCCCCTCCCAGGGTGCACACGAGCAGGAAGCTGGAACGCAAGCCAAGGAGCCCCTCCTCCAGACTCAGACGCTGCAGGAGTGGAGGACTTTGGTCCCAGAGATGCACTTTAGGAGATCCAGGGTCCAAAGAAGGCGGGAACCTGGGAACTCTCGTGGGCAAGCGGGGCTGCTCTGTCCCAGGCAGCAGAAGCCCTTTGTGGGAAACATCCCTGCAGATGTCGAGACAGAACAGGGACAGGGGCCAGCGCTGTGGCACAGCAGGTTAAAGCCCTGGCATGCAGCGCCGGCAACCCATGTGGGCACCAGTTTGAATCCCAGCTGCTCCACTTCTGATACAGCTCTCTGCTATGTTCTGGGAAAGCAGTGGAAGATGGGCCAAGTCCTTGGGCCCCTGCACCCACATGGGAGACCCAGAAGAAGCTCCTGGCTCCTGGCTGTGGATCGGCGCAGCTCCAGCTGTTGCGGCCAACTGGGGAGTGAACCAGCAGAGGGAAGACCCCCCCCCCCCGCCCCGCCCGCCTCTGCTTCTCTCTGTGTAACCCTGACTTTCAAATAAATAAATAAATCTTAAAACAAACAAACAAAAACAACGAGAGCATATAAGGAGGCTGGTGCTGTGGCCTAGCGGGTTAAGCTGCCGCCTGCGCCTGCACATCCCATATGAGCACTGGGTCAAGCCCTGGCAGCCCCACTTCCCATCCAGCTCCCTGCTAATGCGCCTGGAAAAGCAGCAGACGATGGCCCGAGTGCTTGGGCCCCTGCAGCCACCTGAGAGACCCGGAAGAAGCTCCTGGCTCCTGACCTTTTTTTTTTTTTTTTTTTTTTTTTTTGACAGGCAGAGTGGACAGTGAGAGAGAGAGACAGAGAGAAAGGTCTTCCTTTGCCGTTGGTTCACCCTCCAATGGCCGCCGCGGCCGGCGCACTGCGCTGATCCGATGGAGCCAGGAGCCAGGAGCCAGGTGCTTCTCCTGGTCTCCCATGGGGTGCAGGGCCCAAGCACCTGGGCCATCCTCCACTGCACTCCCTGGCCACAGCAGAGAGCTGGCCTGGAAGAGGGGCAACCGGGACAGAATCCGGCGCCCCGACCGGGACTAGAACCCGGTGTGCCGGCACCACTAGGCGGAGGATTAGCCTAGTGAGCCGCGGCGCCGGCCCTGGCTCCTGACTTCTGCCTGGCCCAGTCCTGGCTGTCGCAGCTGTTTGAGGACTGAACCAGCGGGTGGAACAGTCTCTGTCTCTCCTCCTCTCTGTGATTCTTTCAAATAAATAAATAAATGTAAGAAAAAGGAAAGCTCTCTCAGTGCTGCTTGCATCATGATTTACTCTTTTTGAAATATTATTTACTTGAAAGCCAGAGATGCACACAGAGAGAAGGAGAGGCAGGGAGAGAGCGAGAGCGAGAGCCAGAGCGAGAGAGGTCTTCCATCCGTTGGTTCACTCCCCAGTTAGCCTCAACGGCCAGACCTGAGCTGATCTGAAGCCAGGAGCCAGGAGCTTCTTCCGGGTCTCCATGTGGCTGCAGGGGCCCAAGGAGTTGGGCCATCTTCCACTGCTTTCCCAGGCCATAGCAGAGAGCTGGATCGGAAGTGGAGCAGCTGGGACTCGAACCAGCACCCATATGGGATGCCGGCACTGCAGGCGGTGGCTTTACCTGCTCTGCCACAGCGCCGGCTCCATGATTTCCCTTTTATCTCACACTATAAATCCTTCCTGAAGAGGTTACAAAAATCAGCAACATAGGCCGGCGCTGCTGCTCACTTGGCTAATCCTCCACCTGTGGCACCGGTACTCTGGGTTCTAGTCCTGGTTGCCCCTCTTCCAGTCCAGCTCTCTGCTGTGTCCAGGGAGTGCAGTGGAAGATGGCCCAAGTGCTTGGGCCCTGCACCCCATGGGAGACCAGGAGAAGCACCTGGCTCCTGGCTTCGGATTGGCACAGTACGCCGGCTGTAGCGGCCATTTGGGGGGGTGAACCAACAGAAGGAAGACCTTTCTCTCTGTCTCTCTCTCTCACTGTCCACTCTGCCTGTCAAAAAAAAAAAAAAAAAAAAAAAAGCAACATAAAGAGTTTTTTAAAAACCCATTTGTTACAAAATAATAATAAAAGGATATTTTAGAGTAGCAACCACCCCATCCTGGAAGCCGCCTCACCATGGCATCCAAAACTGACAAGGACTTTGCAAGGACAGAGAATTCGTCTAAGTCACTAAAGGAGATAAAAAAAAAAAAAAAATCCCGTGCGGTTTTAGACAAATGGGACGACCACACCGTGTCAAGACTGAGTTCTGACTCCACTGCTCATTCCAGCTTCCAACTTTTTTTTTTTTTTAAACATTTATTTATTTACTTGAAAGGCAGAGAGAGAGAGAAAGAAAGAGAGAGAAAGTGAGAGAAGTCTTCCATCCCCTGGTTCACTCCCCAAATGACTACAATGGCCAGATCTGGGCCACGCCAGAGGCAGGAGCCAGGGGCTTCTTCCCAGTCTCCCAGGTGGCTGCAGGAGCCCCAGCACTTGGGCCATCCTCCACTGCTTTCCCAGGGCATGGCAGAGAGCTGGAAGAGGAGCCTGGATCGGAACCAGTGCTCGGATACGGGACGCGGGCGTCACAGACTGTGCCACAGCACCGGTCCCTGGATGGACTTTGGGTCCCTGCAGCCACTGGGGGCATCTGAGGACAGAACCAGGAGATGGGAGCCCTGGGCCTGCTCTGTCAATCAGCGCAAACCCAGAGACTGCACAAACCAGAAGGGCTTTCCGGGGTGGTCAGTACAGCGGGGGGAGCCGGGATCAGCGAGCCCTGCGTCCGTGTTCCGCAGTGGACAGCATAGAGTGTTGGGAAGGCACAGGGGCTGCGTGACGGACAGAAGAGACAAGGGCGGCCAACAAGGGTGGGCGTGTCCGTAAAGGCCTCCCAGGGCCTCTGCACGGGCGTCCCGGGCACAACCTCACTGCTCCGGAAGTCCCGGAGTGTGATGCCAGGTGGAGGTGGCCACGTCCACCTGCACAAGTCCAGCTCCCTCAGTGGCCTCCCCGGAGCGGGAAGCTTACTGCAAAGCCAGTCCCGGGGATCACCACGCCCCTGCCCCCGAGGGCAGACTGGCGCCTGCAGTGTGGACGCCCCCGGGGAGGGACGGAGCTGGCCTGCAAGGCTCCTGCATGAGGTCCGCAGATGCTCAGGGGCCTGCCTGGAGTGGGCGGGGGATGTCTGGCACTTGGATGTCGCTGACCCGGGAAGGTCAAGGTCAGATCTGTGGTTTACAAAGGGCCCTCATGGGGCTGGCACTGTGGCACTACCATCCCAAATGGGCAATGATTCGAGTCCTGGCTGCTGCACTTCCAAACCAGCTCCCTGCTGATGCACCTGGGAAAGCAGCGGAAGATGGCCCAAGTGCTGGGGCCCCTGCACCCTCGTGGGAGACCCGGATGGAGCTCCTGGCTTCAGCCTGGCCCAGCCCTGGCTGTCGCAGCCGTTTAGGGAGTGAACCAGTGGATGGAACCAATAGATAGACAGTCTCTCTCTCTCTCTGTCTCTCTCTCTCTGTCTCTCTCTCTCTCTCTCTCTGTTTCGTGTCTGTGTGGGCATGTGTTGTAACTGCCTTTCAAATAAATAAATAAATCTTAATTCAAACAAAACCAAAAAACCCTCCCAGCCTGTGGATGGAGAATCGTGGGAAAGGATGGAGACCCAGGGGCCTCAGGGCGTTCCAGCCTGGGAGGGGCTTCTCAGGGCGGAAGAGACTGGAGAGGAGGCGTGGCTAAGACAAGGTCACACCCTTGGGCTCGAGAATTCCCTAGGACTGAAGAGCCCCGCAGGGTCGTCACACCAGGATTGTGGTTTATTACAGTGAAGGAAGCAACAGCCAGCGCAGAAGTGCTAACTCTGCCCACTAGGAAGAGTGACAGCTGCACAGAGGGGCTCCCCTAGGTTCTTTCTTTTTTTTTTTTTTTTTTTTTTTGACAGGCAGAGTGGACAGTGAGAGAGAGAGACAGAGAGAAAGGTCTTCCTTTTGCCGTTGGTTCACCCTCCAATGGCCGCCGCGCTGCTGCCGGCGCACCGCGCTGATCCGATGGCAGGAGCCAGGAGCCAGGTGCTTTTCCTGGTCTCCCATGGGGTGCAGGGCCCAAGCACCTGGGCCATCCTCCACTGCACTCCCTGGCCACAGCAGAGGGCTGGCCTGGAAGAGGGGCAACCGGGACAGAATCCGGCGCCCCGACCGGGACTAGAACCCGGTGTGCCGGCGCCGCTAGGCAGAGGATTAGCCTAGTGAGCCGCGGCGCCGGCCTCCCCTAGGTTCTTAACGGGGCTGAGTCCTGCCCACCAGGCTGACCACAGCCCCCCACACTCAAGTCCACTCCCAGTATCAGCTGTTTGTGTGGCCCAAGGCCCCAGGGAGACAAAGACTGTAACACTGCTGGTCACTAGGGGGCTGCGGGCACAGGCACAGGCACTGCAGGGGCCTTCCCAGGTCCAGATGAGGGACAGAGGGCCCGCCCACCAGCACAGGGCCCCTGTCAGCCTGGAAACCATTATCCAGTCACACGTACACACGGCACAAGACACTATACACGTTCAAGGAGTGAAGGCACTTACTGCCCGAGCACCTCTTCTGAGAAAGCTACTTCAGGGCACGCGTCAGCTGAACCAACCAGAAGGGACTTCCACAAAGAGGGGCACACGAGGTCCCCGGGAGGAGACGTGGTGCAGCCGGATAATGGGCAATGCAGGAGGACCTCAGCCCCACAGGGAGTGAGGCGTTTGTGGGTCTCACTGGCCGCTCTAGGAGAAACTTCATGTAGCGAATCAGGGTCAAAATGCAAGGAAAGGCACTGGGTGGTGTGGAGCACGTCCTGGCGGGGCACCTGCTGGGCGGCGTAGAGAACCATGACGTCGCCACCCTCGGTGTTCTCCCTGGTGGATGCCTCGGTCCCCGAAGCCCAGAACGCTTGGATAACGTGAAGACAAGGGCAGGGGCAGGCAGTGCGCCGGCTCCCAGGTGCAGGGGTCAGGACCGGAGCCATCAACCTGGCAGCCAGAATCCCAGCGGTCGGCCGCGAGCAGCCAGACATACAGCAGAAGTTGCGTGTAAACTGGGGAGGGGCCGGAGGGGTGACGGGTGACCTGAAGAGACAGGGCGGGGTGCCTGCATTGGCACACGGGGGGCAAAGGTCGCGGGAGGTCGGCTTCCGCTCCGTCCCACAGCCACTCGGGGAGGCAGCCCCTAAGCTCAGTATCCAGGGCCCGATGCCAGTGGTCCTGGCCGCCCTCCCCCGGGCTCTGCCCCGCACCCCGAGGGGCGGCTGTCCCGTCGGGTCCCTGACCGCTGTCTCCCTCCGCAGTGTACCACTGGGTGGAGATGCGAACCAAGATGAGCGTCATGGGCTTCAAGGCCGAGGCCGTGAAGCCGCTGAACGAGGAGGCGGCCGCCGAGCTGGGCGCCGAGCTGCTGGGCGAGGCCACCATCTTCATCGTGGCCTGCAGCTGCCTGCTGCTGGAGTACTGGCGCCAGCAGGCGCAGCGGCGCCGCAACAAAGTCGAGCGGCTGGCGGCCTGGGACGCGCTGCGGGACGAGGTGGGCCACCTGGCGCTGGCACTGGAGGCGCTGCAGGAGCAGGTGCAGGCGGTGCCGCCGCAGAGCGCGCTGGAGGAGCTGCGCGCGCAGGTGCAGGAGGTGCGCGCCCAGCTCTGCGCCGCCGACCTGCAGCCCGCCCCCCAGGAGTAGGCGGCCGCAGGGCCCTGGTCTCGGAGGCAGCTGCTCTCTGCCCTGTGTCCCATCCCAAACCGGCGGGGCTGGCACCACCTGGTCCTTTGGGGTGAGAAAGGATCCTGGGCGGGGACTCACCCCACTGGGCAGCTGGTCACCTCCATCCTGCCCCGCTCTGTGGCACCCTGCCCTGGGCCTCCAGGGAGTTGCGATGCACCAGTGCCCAGGGCCCGCCGTGTCTTCTGTGGGCCCCCAGCCAGCCAGCCAGCCAGCCACTCACCATTAAGCAGCCCACAGGACATCCTTCTTTTTGGCAAAACAAATTGGGTCCTGTACAGGGATTTGGCCAACTTCTGTCACACCTCGTTATGTCTCAGGGGAGCCCCCCACCTCTTCGTTGGTAGACCACTGTGGGGGGGGGGGTTGAAACCATGCTGGAAGTTCCGGGGGACTCCACCAGCGCGTCCATCTACCTCTCTTCTTGCGGGTGGGGTGACCTTGCACTGCGCTTGCCCCGCCAGTCACCCTCCGGCCCCCACCTGTAATCCCCCCCCCGACAGTGCCTTCACCTGGCTTCTCCCCTCCCAGAGTGGAGGGCGCACAGCACCACCCTCTGGCCTGGCCACTGCCTCATCTCCCAAACACATCTCCCCCGACGGTTGGGGTGATGCAGGACCCCAGGGAGAACCGCTCTGAACCCCTCTGCTCTCAGCCCAGCCCCGTTACCTGCCCCAGACCCCGAGCTGACCCCGCCCTTCCTCCTCACTCTTCCAGCTCCCCCACCTGTCAGTCACATCCCACCTCCCACCCAGTCTGCTCCTCGGAGCTCTCAGAGGTCGCCCTTCCTGCCAAGGCCCCTCCAGGGAGCCCGCCCACCCGTCACCCGGACGGGCAGTCCTGCCTCCCCACTGGGGCGCGCGTGAGCTCTGGGACCTCTGAACTGCCTTGCCAGACTCTGTGTCCGTCATTGAAGCAGCTCCGGGGGAAACAGGTCATCTTGGGAACATGTCTGAGACGGTGGCGTCCACCTGCAGAGTGGGTCGGGTGTTGGGGAACTCTGGGGGAGCGGGGACAGGGTTGACCCCGGAGCGTTTGCCCAGTGGGGAAACCGCAGCCCTGCATGGACCCAGGGACCTGCCCTGGCTGTCTCCGGCATGAAGGGGACGGGGCAGGGGAGCGGCCTGGCCAGGGACCACGAGGGGTTCCAGCAGAGAACCCAGCGTCCGTCCATCCGTGCGTGAGGGAGAGGCATGGAGGACGGAGCCGGCCTCCGGCCCCTCACAGCAGCCCTGCCAATCACCCAGAGAGTTTAGCATTTGTAAAAACCGGCAGATTTATTCCACGGGGGCCCATTTTATGAGGCTGAGGGGGAGGTGGGGGCAGAGGCCGCCTCCCCCCTGTTTCGCCCTCATCTTCCCAAGGTGGGTGAAAATGGCCAGGGCCCCACCTACCCAAATACAAAACCAAAAAACTGAGGTTCCAAAAAGTTACAGCATCTTAATTCCTCATAGAAAAGGGGAAGGAGCCAGAGGGAGGGAAGTCCCCGGGGTGGGGGCGGCACCCCAGCCCGACAGGACGTCCCCCGGCAGCTGCCCCAACCAGGGCACGCCGAGGGCCACAGCATTAAAAACCCCCACACCCCATGTTATCAAAACCAAAGAGGCAAAAAAAAGTACCCTTCCCCCCCAAAACCCAAATATATATATATATTTATATACTTCTTAAAAAACAAAACTTCGAAGGCATTAAGCGTTAAAGTGAATCTAAACAAGGGAATGTGAATTCCCTCTTCCCTTCCCCCTTACTGTGGGGTTAATGGTACATCCCCAGCAGAGGAACCAGCCCCAAGGGGATGGCAGAGGGGAAGGACCAAAGGGAGCAAAGGGTGGGGGCCTCCCCAGCCAATCAGCAGCCAGTACGGGTGTGGGCACGGTGCAGGGAAGCCACACCCCCTTGGAATCTTCCAAGTGGGAGGGGGCAGGGGGAGATGCATTCCCGTGTAGTCTTCAGCCAATTCCACGTGGAGTCGAGGCAGGGAAGCAGGGTAACAGGCGGGGTGTGCGGAAAGAAGTGGGCCCCTGCGGTCAGGGGGAGCCCCGCTTCCTCAGCTCCTGGACAAAGGCTGGAAGGAAAGAGGGGGCAAAGCTCAGGGCAGGGGCTCTTTCCCCTTCCGTTCCAATCTTCCCAAAAGACAGGCGGCCTCCAAACCACACAGGCGCCTCACGGGGCGCGGGCAGGCGCCTCACCTTCGATGATCTCCTCTTTCACCTTCCGCAGCTCCTTCCTCACCTCCTCCAGCAGCTCCTGGAACCACAGGGTTCACCAGTGGGCGGGGCCCGGAGCGGCAGGAAGCCCCCTGTCTCCCACTCGCTGAGAGTCGGAGGAAGCGGGCTGGAGACCGCCCGGCCCCGCCCTCCCTGCCAAGGTCACAGAGAGAACTGGAGGGCATCCAGGACACAGGCTGGCAAACGCCTCCCAGCCTCCTGCCAGCTCCGGCGGGGTCTCAGGTGCTCATCGGAAAGGAGTGTGGTGATGGATTATAAGGCCTGTCACAGCCGTTGAAAGGGGTGCGGCACCTGCGTCATCCCTGACCCCGCCGATGGCTCCCCCTTCTCAGACCGGACACCCAGGGTCTGGACCCAGCGCCCCTCCTGCCGTGGGCCCTGGCTAGGCCCCCACCTGCACCTTCCACCCCTACCTGTTTCACCCGCTCCAGGTCCGAGTCGTCACCGGAGCTGTGGTGGGAGGGGTGGGCCTCGGGGGTGGCCACCGAAGACGAGGACTTCATCCTGGGGGGGACAGAAGCGAAGTCAGAGGCCCTGCCACCCGCGGAGGCGCCGCGCCCGCCGCGCCCCCCGCGCCCGCTGCGCCCGCCGCGCCCGCCGGCCCACCTGGGCAAGGTCGTGCTGTTCTTCTCCCAGGGCCTCCGCACAGATTCTGGGGAGCAGGCAACAAACCGCAAGGTCAGGGCAAAGGATTCCTCCCCCAGCCAGCAGCCCCTCTGCAGAGAAACCCCCAGGAGAGGCCCGCCCCTCCCCCGGGCCGCCCGGCACTCACCGCTGTGGACCGGGACGCGGGCCTCTGGCTCCTCCTGCTGGCAGGAAATGAAACCGTCATGAGCAGCCCCGCCACGCTGCCCCGGGACCCCACCGAGCCCCTCACTCACACTGGCAGATTCGTCCTTGGGGGGCTTCTCGCCAACCTGCGAGGCTTTCCTCCTGCGGGAGGGAGGGACGAGAAGAGAAGCCTCAGCCCCCCCACTCGCAGCTGCGGGCCCAGGGTTCTAGAAAGTGGCCCTTGTGTGTGGGGGGGGGGGGGCTGCACGGCCAAGGCTAAGGAAGCTGGGATGGGGGGGGGTCTTCCTGTGGCCCTCACATCTGGAACCCTAACGTCCTAAGGGGGGAAGGGACTCTGGGAACTAAAATCCTAGGAGTCAGTTTCTAGAACATTCCGCAGGCGCCACAGGTAGGGCTTTCAGCACAAGCAGCAAACAGGAACCAGAGCCCGCCCCCCGCCCCCGCCCCCCCGCCAGCCTGCAGGGCTGGGGTCCCAGGCAGGGGGGTGGGCCCAGGCTCACCTCCGGGCCAACATGGCGTTCATCTCCTCCATGAGCCCCCCGCCTGTGCTCCGGCCACTCTCAGCTTTGGGGCCCGGGGGCCCCCCTGAGACTTCCTCTTGCTGAGGACGGTAAAAGGGAGCAGAGGGCTTGCGGGTGGGCCTCCCGTGACAGGCAGCCCCCAGCCCATTGTTACCTCAGGGCCAGCCCCCCCCCCCCCCCCCCCCCGCGGGCCCCTCACCTTGCTGACTTTCCTGAGTTTGGCTCCAGCAATGGCTGCGGCCAGGCCGGGGGCTCCAGTCCCCCCACCACTGGGGCCCTGGGCTGTGGGGAGAGGGGGTGCAGGGGGTGGGCCCCCCCCTGCCGGGGGCAGCCCTGGGGGTGGGGGGGGACCCGGCGGAGGGGGCGGTCCTGGAGGCGGGGGTGGGCCCCCGGCTGGGGGAGCAGGCGGGCCTCCTGAAACAAGGCAGAGCAGGGGTGGCTCAGAGAGGAGCCAGCCCCTCCTCCAGGGGGGGCTCTGGGCTCGGCCCGCCCCCCACCCCCGCAAGCCCAGTTACCTGCGTTGCACACGCGGCGCTCCATCTGCTCCGGCTGCTGCCTGTGGGGGGGACTGCGGTCACCACCGCCCCGGCCCCTCCGCAGGGCCCAAGGGGTGGCGCGGGAATGTTCTAGACTGTCACCGACACCCGGGGTCCTCTCAGGACGAGGGTTTGGGGACTGGGGGTCCTGCGTCTCTGAGCGCCAGGGATTTTCTTAAAGTCTCAGAGGTGGGGGCTCCCAAAAGCGGGCAACTCCTAGTCCCTGGGGAGTTGGAACATTCTGGAAACTGGACGTCGGAGGATGCTGGGACATCTAGAATCTGGCAGTAAGGGCCCCCAGCCAAGGGGCCAGCCCTACCTTTTGTGCTGCTCCACCTCTTCCGGGGAGGGGCCGTTCTGGCTGGCCCACGCGGCAGGTGCTGGGGGCGGCGGAGGCCCACCTCCTGGGGGTGGCAGGGGAGACAGAGCCGGGGTCAGCCTTGCCTGTGGCCTCCCCCACCCGGCTCAGGAATCCCACCCAGGGGCACTCACTTCCTTCCTCCCCCAGACCCTGGGCAGGGGCGACACCACTCCCCCTGCCAGGGCGGCCAGGACGCCCGGGGACAGTGGGGAAGCCGAGTCCAGGTGGACCCCTCCCCCTTGCCTCCCTCGGTCCTGCCCAGCCCCGGGTGGCCAGGGGGCCCGGAGTCGCAACCACCTCTGTGTGTGGGCAGTTTCGGTTCCACAGTGGCTATGCCACACCCCAGAGGCAGGGCGGGCAGCGGAGGTCAGCGGCTGACCTCAGGTCCAGGGCTGGCAGCCCTGGCATCGCAGGGGGCTGTGAGCTGTGCAGTCTCGGGCCCCACCCACATTCCCCAGGTGAGCCCTGGGAGAGCAGGCCTGGAGGCTTTCCTGACGCCGGGGCTGGTGACAGAAGCCAGCACGGGCTGCGGGGGCTCCTGGGGGCTGGGACCAGGCTGCGTCCTCCGGAGTCCACACAGGAGCCCTGTGATGTCCCACAGTAGCGACCGAGCGGCTCCATTTTCGAGATGGGTAACCCGAGGCCCCAGCCGGCGGCCGGCACCCACCTTCCAAGGCCTCTAGGGCCTCGGCCATGCCGGCGGCGAACTGCGCCGCGTCCTCCTTGCTGCCAAAGTTGAGGCCCCAGACCTGGCGGGCATCGCGCCACTGGTGGAAGTTGGGGGTGGCCTGATTGTACTTGATGCCCCGGACGATGGCACAGTTGATGACCACCTGGAGGCAGGGAAAGCGGGGTGAGGGCGGTGGCCCAGGGGGCGGCCCCAGTGTGTGGGGGGGATCGGGGGGGACGCGCACCTGCTGGTCCGGCTGCATCTTGCGGCCCACGACCCGGAAGGAATTGGCCGTGGGGTTGTGGTAGATCTGCACGCGGCTGAAGGCCTGGGGCCCCGTGCCCGCGGGGAGCCATTGCTTGTTGCTGTCATCGTAAAGCATCACCTTGGCCCGGCTGGTGCACACGACCATCTCACTGCGGGAGGCGCAGGGGAGGCGGGGTCACCCTCGCCACCAGGGGCAGGGGAGGCGGGGTCACCCTCACCACCAGGGGCAGGGGAGGCGGGGTCACCCTCGCCACCAGGGGCAGGGGAGGCGGGGTCACCCTCGCCACCAGGGGCAGGGGAGGCGGGGTCACCCTCGCCACCAGGGGCAGGGGAGGCGGGGTCACCCTCGCCACCAGGGTCTCCCTGGGAGACGCTGCGAGGGGGAGAGGGCGTGACACAGCCCCCCCCCCCCAGGAGACCCAGGCAGAGAAGATGCTGGACGGGGGGCAGCTGAGACCAGTGCGCCCTGGGGGGTGTGAGATGGATGGGGAGAAACAGGAAGAGGAGACATGGAGACGCAGGGGAGGGAGGAAGGTGCCCTGAGCTGCTCTGGGGCCAGCCCTACCTCAGTTTCCCTCTCTGCCAAGTTTTGGATGCCCCCCCTGCTGCTCAGAGCAGAAGAGGAAGCTGAGGTCGGGGAGGGGGAGGGGAGGCCTGTGGCCGGCCGGGGACAGCACAGACCCCTGCTCTCCACTGCAAGGGGGTGCCGGGCCCCCACTGCATCCTTCCGGCTCCCCTGGGCACTACGGGCCTGTGTTGGGTGCCACTGGGGACAATGACACAGCAGTGGCCCAGATGGCCCTGGCCACACCCTCCCAGGGCTCACAGTCCAGTGCCTCAAGACACGGGTCCCTAGGCCGTGATGCCCAGGGCTTGGACCAAGGAGCCGCCCAGGCTACAGGCATGGAGGACGCGGGGCCTGCTGCCCACTCTGCAGGAGGGGGTCAGAGTTCCAGTCTGCCGTCCGCAGGCGTGGATTCAAGTCCCTGCAGAGCCCCGAGGCCGGAGCCTGCACACGGGAAATGAGGGCTGGGTGCCCGGTCGGCCTCGGCTTCCGTGCTGCGGTCACCCTGTGGCCGGCCGGGGACCTCCCACCGTTCCTGGGAGGTCGGAGCCCCCCTCCCCCAATGAGGAACCCCAGGCTCCCCCAGGGGAAGTGACTCGCCCAAGGTCGCACAGCCCAGGGGGAAGCGCCGGCCTCGGCTGGGTGCCCCCCACCGTGGGTTTTTCCTGAAAAGAGGAAGTTGGCGGCTGGGGGGGCGGGGAATGACACCCACAGAGGCTCTGTCTCCACCGGGCGGGTGCTGGGGTGTGACACTGACCACTGACACGGCCCAGCCTGGCACCCTCACGGCAGTCCTGGGGCGGACATGACCTCCCCCTCGGCTCAGAGGCGACCAGGGCCGGGATGCGCCCCCGCACACACTGCTAAAGCAGCGGCAGGGGCAGGATTCGAACCCAGGTCCGCAGTCTTGCCCCCCGGGGACTGCGCCGGCCCTGCCCAAACACCAGGTGCAAGCCAGAGAAGCAGGCCTCCAGGGCTGTTTCTGGTTCCCACTGCCCCCGGCAGGGCAGGTAGGGCTAAGGCCGCGCCCACACCTGCCACCCACAC